AAGAAACTGAAATGGATAGTAATTATTATTAAGAATGATGAGACGATATAATGATTACACTAACGATACAATCGATATAATTCAAACAGCAATTTCCATGTAACTAAGGATTCCAACCTGTACTGATGACATGCATCAATCGGTCGATTCATTTTCGTCAAAAAATCGCCAAGCAAATGATGCAGACGGCTGTTCACTGTTGTCTAAATACAGAAACAAAAAAAAAGCACATACAAATAATTTCGAGTTTTTTTTTTTTCAAGAAATTTTTTCGTAATACGAAATTATAGTCAAAAATTGCAGAGCTCGAATAGTTGAAATACCATACTACTGCAGCTAGAAGGCTGTAATTTTAAGGGGATGTTCCACAACAACTGATTCTGATATTTTAGATTTCAAAATGTATTTTTCTTGTCTGATTTGTGCACATTTTTTTAAAGTAAACCTCCGTTTGTTTCTTCAGCAATGCAATCGCTTTGTCATATTTCTGTGTTTTATCGTATAAATTGACAAGCACAAACACTGCATCCAGTAGATGAGGCGATAATGCAATTGCCTGCAAAATCTTCTTTTTAGACCTTTTTGCATCATTTTTCGGTTTCGAAAAAACTAAATTCCAACGCTTTTTTTTCAAAATTTTCTGCAAATATTTGCAGCTAATTTCTACTCGATTTAAGTTCTTCTGCACCTGCTGTTGTGTTCATTGGAGTATAGCTTTTAGAATAAGGATTTAATTGCAGCACCAACAAAACGTAACAAACAATTGTAGAAGGGAGCAGCAGCACGAGTACGGCGTGTGCGGCGCCGGGGAGCAATCGATAGGGCCGGAACGGTGGGGCACTGTGCACACAGTGTGCACTTGGGGAGGCGCACTGGCCGTTCCCTCAGCCTTATTCACAACGTCTACTGAATACAACACGCACACCACAACAGAGCAAAACATAAAGATCACTGATACCTCCAGCTAAAGCGGGGAGGGCAGGCGGGGGAGAGGGGGAAACGGGGCGGGTCATATATCTCACCTACTTCTACGGCTTTTACACAGCGATGCAATACAACCGGAGCAGCTGAGTTGAAGAGGCCTAAAAATGGCCGAACTTTTTTCAAAAATAAATTTACCAGCACCTGATAAAATATACAACAAATTTTGCTCATCCATGTTGGGATTGTTCCGTTGGTAAATTATTACCAAAGCATGCCAAAAAATCAGAACCGCAATAAACAATCTCAAGGAAGAAAGAACTATCGATACTTCTGCTAAGCAGTTGATAGCTTGCTGTTGACAAAAATCTGGCTTTCTGTGAATTTCTTCCCTCCCCCAATGAGTGAAATATGCAAAAAATTCTAATCTTATTGCTGATTGTCGAAATCACAAATATCAAAAAAATCGTAAGAGGAAAAAAACCTTTTCTAAAAGTTTTTCGGCATCCTTAACAGTTGATTCATCTTTTGCTGCAAGTGTTGCACAGAGGTACAATGCTCGGGGATTTTCGGAACCCAAATGATGTCGACATGCAGAAGCAACAAGTCGTGCCTAAAAAAAAGTATAAATTTCTGGCAAGTGTGAATGAGATAAACCTGAGCTAAACAAGAAATTCCCGATTTTTTACTATGACAGCTTTCGAAAGGCAGTAACAACAAATTTCTTGTCGGCAAGGTACCTCACCATGATCCGGAAGCAATAAGGCCTAGAACAAAACAATGGCA